CTTTTCTTCCGATCTCCCACTTAGAATCTTTGGTTGTTCCTCATTTGTTCACATACACCAACAACATCGAACCAAACTTGATCCCAAATCATTAAAATGCATTTTCCTAGGATATTCCTCTCATCAAAAGGGGTACAAGTGCTACTCACCTGTCACTAGAAAGACATACAATTCCATGGATGTCACATTCTTTGAACACCAATCTTATTTTCCCAAACCTGCAATTCAGGGGGAGAATTCGAGGGAATTTCAGCTTTGGGACATCCTTCGAGACACTCAATCCGTGTACATTTCACCCCAAAGTGTCAATCCAGCCTCCTTACCGTCTTCTGAGTCCTCAAATCCAAGTCTCAGCTCCTCTTCCGAGTCCTCAAATCCGAGTCTCAGATCCACATCAGGTCCACTATCCGAGTCTCAGTTCCATGAGCCATCCAACTTCCCGAATCACACCACTCAGAATGATCTAACCGAGTCCACCCAACCTCAACTTGGTACAAATTGTCAGGAACCCCGTGTCTATTCTAGGAGGAGACGACCTACTGAGCACTTAGAGAACATCACTCAAGTCAAAGACTGTCAAGAACCTAAACCGGACCCTCCTGCTTCAGACTCTCACAGAGGTATGGATTCTTCAACTCGTGAGCCTCCTGTTCCTTTTATTGATGATTCTGCCTTGCCTATTGCTGAAAGAAAGGGTGTCCGAGTATGTACAAACCACCCTATTGGGAGATATGTGGCATATGGAAAATGGCTGCCATCATATAAAGCATTTATTTCAGCTCTTGATAGTGTACAGATTCCTAATTCCATTCAGGAAGCTTTGAAAGATCCAGCATGGAAGCAGGCTGTCGAGGAAGAAATCAGAGCCCTAAAAAGTACTGAAACCTGGACTCTTGTAGAGTTACCTCAAGGGAAGAAGCCTATGGGTTGCAAGTGGATATTTACTGTTAAGTATAAAGCAGATGGAAGTATTGAGAGGTTCAAAGCTAGGCTGGTCGCAAAGGGATTCACTCAATCATATGGAATTGATTATCAGGAAACGTTCGCGCCTGTTGCCAAGTTGAACACGGTTCGTGTATTGTTGTCACTAGCAGTAAATAAAGACTGGCCTTTGCACCAGCTCGATGTCAAGAATGCTTTTCTGAACGGGGATCTTGCAGAGGATGTTTACATGGAAATACCACCAAGCCTAGAAAACCCTTCAAATAGCCGTCAAGTGTGCAAGCTGAAAAAGTCATTGTATGGCCTAAAGCAGTCACCTCGTGCCTGGTTTGATAGGTTTACCAAAACAGTGGTCACAAATGGGTACAGTCAATGCCAGGCCGATCACACTCTATTTATGAAATTCTCACCAAGAGGCAAGATTGCTATTCTCGTCCTTTATGTTGATGACATCATTTTAACAGGAGACGACTCAGAGGAAATTATCAAACTCAAAAGCTTACTTGCTACTGAGTTTGAAATTAAAGACCTTGGTACTCTAAGATACTTTCTAGGCATGGAGGTTGCTCGGTCTAAGGCAGGGATTGTTATATCCCAACGAAAGTACATCTTAGATTTGCTAACAGAGACTGGCATGCTTGGGTGTAAACCTGCAGAGACGCCTATGAACCCCAACCTGAAGTTAAGGAAAGATGAGGAAAGTGTTCCAGTGGATAAAGGACAGTATCAAAGGCTAGTGGGCAAGTTGATTTATCTCTCACACACGAGACCAGACATTGCATTCTCAGTGAGTGTGGTTAGCCAACACATGAACAATCCGAATGAGGAACACTTAAGAGGCTGTAAATCGAATTCTTAGATACCTAAAGATGACACTAGGCCACGGTTTACTCTTCAAAAGGTGTGAAAGCCGTAAGATAGAGGTTTACACAGATGCTAGCTGGGCTGGAGAACTAACTGAAAGGAGATCCACAAGTGGTTACTGCTCCTTTGTTTGGGGCAATCTTGTTACATGGAGAAGCAAAAAGCAATCAGTGGTGTCAAGAAGCAGTGCAGAGTCAGAATATCGTGCTCTTGCTTTGGGCATCTGCGAAGGAATGTGGCTTCAACGATTACTAAGGGAGTTGAGAATTGATTGTAAGGACCAGATTAAAATGCTTAGTGACAGCCAAGCCGCCATCAGCATTGCTAAAAATCCAGTACACCACAACAGGACCAAGCATGTGGAGATTGATAGGCACTTCATCTCAGAGAAGATCAACAATGGAATAGTTCTACTCAGCTACATCCCTACACAATTGCAGCTGGCTGACGTTCTCACCAAAGCCCTTCCAAGAAGAAGTTTCGATGAATTCAACTCCAAGCTAGGATTGTATAACATATACAACCCAGCTTGAGGGGGAGTGTAGAAAGGAGCCAATTAGGTTATATAAATTAGGATAGTGTTATTTTTGTAAATTAGGATTTCTTATTTAGTTTCCTAATAAATAGGATCAGTTATTGAATTGATTGATTCATAATTTAGTTACTTTCCTAGTTTGTTGAGATTCCTAATTTTGTGGGATTCTCCGTTTACTTTCCTAGAATAAGTGGACTGGGATGCCGGCCACTCAAGTATAAATATTAGGGCTGTATTTCCTTTGGTTAATAAGAATTTCTCTTCACCAAAATTCTCATGAACTTAACACAAGAAAAAAGAAAAGTATCAAGTATACCTTTTCAAGCATGCGTTCAAGTCGCTGAATTTCCTTCTTGGAGTAATCAGCACCTTTCTCTAGACTGTTCTTGGCAGCCTTAACATAGATCTTACTGTATCTGTAAATCAAAACAAAAGGTAACTGACAACACTAAAAAAACTGTAAAAACTTGCAATGTCACGAACAGTGTTGCGCTACTGTAATTGCTAATGATATAACAAAGAAATTAGTACGAGGGACAGCCACCAAATGTTCACATTTTCTGGTATGTGGCTTTTAAGTAATTTTCAACTACCCAAGAAAACAAGCGATTGTGTTAACCTTGCAGTGGCGCCCTTAAGCTTCTCAACTTCCTCCTCTATCTTGGCGAGGATTTTCTTCTCATCATTTCCAGCATTCACAAATTCCTTCACCAAGTCATTCAGCGCTGCAACTATACCAGCCCACATCAAGACAGATACAAATTGATAAGGAAATGGAAATACATTATGATCCAGTCAAAAATTGAATCAATATGTAACCAACTTTGGAAGTAAGTTGTCCTTTTCCATCTCTGCTAGTCCCACATTTCTCATTAATGAAAGTTACAAAATCATCTAAATCTCTGCCGCCATCATAATCTTCTCTGGCCTTGTTGCTTTTTGGGAAAAATTTCAACGTGGGATACCCACTTACTCCATACCTGCATAAGAAAGCATCTTAACATCAGACAAATCTATTTTCTCTAAATAGGAAGTTATTTACTGGGCATCTTGTCATAGTATAGGTACAGAATTTGATAGAATAGAGCACACCAGTATTTTATTATTATCAAAAAAGAAAAACATTTAAACTTTGTTACTCACTTTTCAGCCAAGTCCCTGTGTTTGTCAGCATCCAACTTAAATGCTGATGCAACCTTCTCGTATATCTAGATAAAAGAAATGGACAATGAAGATATATTAGCAAATCAGTTGTTCAAGACTAATATAAAGATGTTTGCGAGCAAATTTTTTCAGCAGTTAGCAAGTTATACTTACAGGAGCAAGGGATTTGCAGTGGCCACACCTGAAATGAAGAGGGAATATTTTCAAAATCAGAGCCAAGGAAAAGCATTTTAGCAAACACCATGTGCCGATATTGACTTTTTTTTCCACCTCCATTGGTTTAGTCAACAACTATGTCTCAAAGTACTCTCTCAAATGCAGTATACGAAAGAAACCTTACAGACTAAGTACACCCGCAAAAGAAAAAAAGAACACGTTATATATCCTTACCATGGTGCATAGAACTCCACCAAAACATCCTTCTCGTTATTCAGGACGATTTCATCAAAGTCATGTGGTGTTAGTACCACTACATTAGATGGAACTGCAGCTATCTTCACATTGGTCCCTGTTTGCAAAGCATCATCAATCATATTCTACATAGACAAATGTCAAGAGTGCATGCAAAAGCAACTGGGCTAGAGTTGACACTGATCCATCGTGTGCAGAAATCAAAATCATATGAAATGATTCGGGATAATAGGAGAGACGATAGAAACAAACAATCAAAGCCACGCCCCTCCACACAGAAAATACACATTTTGGAGTTTCCACGGAAGAAAGTTGCTAGACATTTCGAACTCCAAGATGTTTGCCAAAGAGAAAGTTTTTAGAATCGAATTAGGATCTATTCACCAAAGTAAACCAAGACAAGAAGTGGACCTTCATTCTATCAGAACCACCTTAATCAACAAAGCATAATTGAAGACAAGTAAACTACAAGATCAGAGTAATACTTCCTTCCTTTTTCACAAACTCAGCAAGAGCTTCAGCACCACGTGCACCTTCATACCTAAAACAGGTAAAAGGAGATCGGAAAATACTTAGGTTACAAATACTGAGAGCTACGAGTGTGGTGAATGTTTACATAATGAAATCTTAATGTACGCGATTTTACAGTCAATTCTTCTGGCTAAAAATTTCTGAAACCATTAAACCATTTCATGAGAAATAGAGGAAGAGTGCACTCACTTTTTGGGCTCAAGGAACCCTTTTGGAAACCACTGGATCGTGGGATATCCAGAAACACCATACTTACTGCAAAGACTTTTGTGCTCATCACAGTCCACCTACCGAAAACCAATACACACACACACACACACACACACACACACACACAGATATATCTTGTAAAAAATAAAATCATGAACTAAAATCTGACAGGAGAATCCACGATTACAAAAGGGTTAATACATGAACTTCTCAGGAACTTCAAGGAAGAAGGCTCTAATCATATCAATTAGCTGGAAGAATGGTTTGGTACTAATTACAAGGGTATCACTTGAGATGAAATACAGAATACATCCCATCAATTCATGAAATAATAAAATCATTTAAGAACCCTAAATTTGGAAATCCAGCATCAACCAAATTATCAACAATATGACAAGGATAAAATTAATTTGGGATCTGACCTTTCCTATTAGAACAGATTTTGCTTTCTTAAAACTTGCACCGAGCTTCTCATACTCCGGTGCAAGCTTCTTACAGTGCCCACACCTGCCATGCGAAGAGCGTAAATAATACCACAACAATTTCATCACGATATAATTCAAAAGCAGCCTACTCTAGCAAACATAAATTAATATACACAATTGAAAAACACTAAAAACTATAGACATCTATAGTGGACAATTTTGCAGAATGTGAGATGTTATTCAATTTCTCGTCAAGTTACGTTATGCTTTAGCATTACCATATATATATATATATATATATATAAAGCAGACAAAATACACATACGTGAACAAATTTCATAAATATCTAGCTTTTCAACGATCATCAGAAACATTTAATCCAAAAATCGATCAGAATTTCACCAAGAGTTTTCACAATTTCAATGGCTCGACGATCAATTCGTTAAACAGATCTAAAACGCAATCACAGTAACGGATCGAATCGGAAAAAGTCAACACAACTACCACATAGACGTACGAAATTCTGTTCGGTCAGAAAGAAGAAACAACTCCTCAAAAAGCAACAACACTTTCTTGTCATTTCTATCGTATTTCCTCAGAAACCAAACAGAAAACATTAGAGAAAAAAAAAAAGGAAAGAAAATCTAAGGTACCAGGGAGCGTAGAACTCGACGAGAGCGCCGCGATCTTGGCCGACCTCCTTGTCGAAGTTGCTCTCAGTGAGGACGACGACGTCGTCAGCGAAAACCGACGAGACAAAGAGCAAAGCTAGGGTTCTGATAACATAGAAGGACTTTGAGCTCAACATTATTCCTTTTTTTTATTCTCACTTCTGATTTTTCTTTCTGTTCTTTTTCCGGAAATGCTCTTGGTCAGTCTGGTCTCCCCTTATTTAGAGTCTGTTTCCCTTGGATTTTTCTTTAGCTTTGGCTTGGCCGGGATATGGAATGATCCTTGCCTTTGTCTTCTTTCACACGTCCTAGCCAAAATAAATAAACGACGGCAAAGCTTTAGGCTATAAACGATATGTCGTTTAGAGGCGGCTTCTAAAAAATCAGGCACTTTAAAACAGAGTACAGTTCGATGGCAATTATGAAAATAATCGTTCGTTTCAACTCAGGAAACGCAATGTCGTTTTTAATAACAGAGGATATTCTCTTTTGGCCCCAGACCCATTTATCTTCCTTCAATATTCAATAATCTTCAGCGTCCCGACCTAATCAGAGACAATTGCTAAAATTCTTCAAATTTTTTTTTTCTTTTTTTTTCCTGGGAGTTTAAATTCTGTCTTTATCTGCTTGCTCGGAGTTTTTTTTTTTTTTTTTTTTTTTTTTTTTTTTTTTTTTTTCAGGGAGTTTAAATTCTGTCTTTATCTGCTTGCTCGGAGTTTTTTTTTTTCAATTACATTTCAACCGAGCATCAATTTAGGTCTCGGAATTTCGCAGCCATGGCTCAAACCAGCAACAATGTCAGTCGAGTTTTTCGTTTGGTTATTTACTTCCCTAGCTCCGGCGTTCGATTTTCTTAGGTTTTATTAGATGATTATTAGTGAATATGAAATTCTTAATTTCTGTTTTTCCCTCTGTTCGTATCGCACTTGGGTTGAGTTTTTTGACTCTCCCAAAATCTAGCCAAAAAAGGACTTATTTTTATTGATTTTTTTTTGTTGTTGTAAATTATCTAGTGTACAATTACGTAGCGGAATTTCAAGGTTTTGATTGTTTATGGTTAGGCACTTGGCGTTGATAACACCTTTAGAAGGAAATTTGATCGAGAAGAATATTTGGAACGAGCTCGGGAGCGCGAAAGACAGGTTTTTTTTTTTTCACTTCAAAGTTTCTCAATTTATTTGTGTTTTGCTTTATCTTTTTTTTACTTCTTAAATTTGGGGGTTTTGCAATTGATTTGGGGCTCTTAGTGACATTTCTTTGCTAATTTGCTGAACTGAATTTTAATTTTAGGAGGCAGAGGGGAAAAATCAATCCAAATGTAAGTTGATTCATGTTGAGCTTTTTTTTTTTTTTTTTTTTTAAATATGAATTGGAACGGATTGATGAACCCTTTGGACTGTAGAAAGATGGGTTTCAAGCGTTTTTGACATATCTTCTGTGCATCCAAAGGCCCTCCAGTGCAAAGAAAGCCGTTGAAACATAGAGATTATGAAGTGGACCTTGAATCTCGCTTGGGAAAAACTCAAGTAAGTTGCTAGATCTTCATTTTATGTATTTTGTTGACATTGCTGAACTATTAGTTTTTAGCACCGGCAGTAAAATTTCTTGAGGAGGACTAAATTAGTTGCCGCTGCCACCGCTTGATATGCGAATGAACCTAATTCATTTCATGAGAGAGTCGGGGATTTCATTTTTTTCATTTTCGTATGCAACATACATGCTGAAGTTATGATTGTTGATTATTACTGATAGAGGGGTCAGAGAGTTGTTCTGTTGTCTAATCTTTCCTAGCAAGTATAGCTGCTTCAGAATTGAGATAGTGCACCAGCGGCTGGCACATGAAGAGCTACTACGCTTTAAATGGGGCGTCTATTTGGAGATGGTTATTAGTATTACAATGACTGTTACTTCATCTGAAGGAAGCTTTAATCCACATGTGAGACAATAGCAAAATTCTAGCCTCTCTAGAGGGCCTAACTACACATGCCTAGATGGAGGAAGGGAGACTACCAAAGAAAATGTTTTGAGAGTTAACATTTAATTCGTATTTTCTGCCGTTCTAAGTGTTGGGAATTAGATATGCCTTCTGGGGTTGGGTGGAAGTAAAATATCTTCAATTTAATACCTCTACTATAATTTAAGTTGCATTCTACAGCTTTGCAAGAAATTTTGGCGCTTGTTGATTTTGTTTTGGGACCACAATGAACCTGACATAAAATTGATTAATGGTCTACTCCGGGTTTTAAAGATGCGTGCTTGGTTTCCTAGTCTATCAAGGCCCTCTTTCTTCATTATTATCATTTTTTTTTCTGTCCTGTTTAAAACCTCTGGTCTAAGATTTTAGGATGCTTTTTGTTTTTCCAAGTAGCAATCGCAAGTTGTATGACGCTGTAAACCAATTTTTAATGCACATATAATTGAATATATTTTTTGTTATGTTCTCTTTTGTTTCTATTTTGCTTGGTGATTTATTTGCCATATAGTATTTTGCGTGTTTTTTTCTTTTTCCCTTTCGAATTTTCAAAGCTTGAGGTTAATAGTTTCAAATTAGCTTTCTTGTGGGTTTATTTATTTATTTATTATTATTATTATTATTTTGCTCTGATCTTTCATATGGTTCATATTATGTATTTGCTTTTTGTTAATAATTAGTTACTTATTTTTCTAGTGGTTGTTTTCTTATTTTTCAATTGTCTTTTGCAGGTTGTTACTCCTATAGCACCTCTCAGTCAACAGGTATCTTTTCATTTGTGCACTAGTTTTTGTTACTCCATTTTTTTCCCCCTGAACTACTATTAAATCTATTTAGATTATGTAATTCTGTCCTCCTTATATAACCTGAGGTAGATCTCTCTATGAGAGAAACATTACTGGATGTTTTCTCCTTCCCACTAAAATTGTGCATTAACTGACATGATGACGGTGGACCACAATACCTTTGTGGTAAACATAGCGCGAGATAGATCTCTTTCAGAGAGAGACACTACTAGATGTTTTCTCCTTCCCTGTGGATGTGGATCTCTCTAGTACACTGATAGGTTCCCGCCTAGGCCTCCTATTAAATTCACCTATTCTAGAAAGGGTAAAAGAGGGAATGTGAGCGTGGAGACCGAGGCAGTGGAGGGCAGTGCTGAGGTGGCAAAGTTGGTTAGAGGAATCTGTTAGATTAGTCGGTCAGAGAGGTTATAAGGGAGAGCAGAGGGGTAGGAGAGGTGTGTGGAATTTGTTAGAGCTTTGAGCGGACATTGGGAGGTAGAGGGTCCTCGAAATCCCTTAGTCTTCTTCCTTATATTTTCTCTAGATTGATTCTCTAAGGTTTCCGACGAAGTCACTGTGTAATGCTGGAATGAAAGTGATTCAATAATAAAAGGAGCCAGGACCCCTTTTTCTGGTTATTCAGTGTTAGATTCTTGTATTCTGTGTTTTTCTTTGATCCGTTTCCAGGTTCTTATCATACTCTCTACATGAGGTTGATCTATCTAGAAGAGAGATATTCCTGGATATTTTCTCCTTCTCAGTAGAGCTAAGCATGAACTGACACGATGACAGTCGACCATAGTACCTTAGTGGTAACTATCTTCAAATGATTTTTATAAGTGAATCGTTACTTTGTTGGTTACAGTGATGGTTTATAAGGGGCAATTAGTAGGCCTTTTCGTTTGTGGTATGTGAAGTCGTTTGGCTTCTAATACCATCTAGAGTAGCATAAGTTGATGCATTTCCTCTGAGTGAGGATGGTCGTATGATGCAGTCTTTAGCAGCACTGTAAGGAAAGAACTATGGTATCATTTGGTTGAGTTGAGTTTAGTTGTTATGTCAGCAGTGCTGTTATATTTAGACGTTTCTATCTGCTCAGTGTTTATGTGTTTGGGACGTATTTGGTTCTTTGCAGGCTGGATATTACTGTTCAGTTTGTGAATGTGTGGTAAAGGACTCTGCAAACTACTTGGATCATATAAATGGAAAGAAACGTATGTGATCATTCAATTTCTGTCTTTCTTTCTTTTTTGTTATTTCAATCTTTTAGATTCTTATTACTCTATCTATTTCTTTATTTATTTATCTGTCTATCTATCTTGTAGATCAAAGAGCTTTGGGTATGTCCATGCGAGTAGAGAGGGCATCTCTTAAACAGGTAGACTTGGTGAAAATGTTATTTACTTTTTTATTTAATTTATAATGAAGATGGAGTTTTTTTTTATTTTTTTTATTTTTTTTACCAAATACATGTTCTGCATGCCCTTCTAGGTCCTGGGTTTTTTTTTTTCCCCTTCAAGTAGGTGTATTTTTATTATATGGGGAGAAGGCTTACTGAAAAGTTTAGTCATTATGTTGCCTTGATACGTCAATTATTATTATTGCGCATTTGTGTGGGAATGATGTATGTGAAGCTGTGAATTTGGATGGCCTGCAGGTCCAGGAGAGATTTGAAGTTCTGAAGAAGAGGAAAGACCCTGGGAGCTTTTCAGAGCAAGGTTAGACTCTTAAGAAGTAAAAAGAGACCTTTTTACATTATAGATTTACCCCCAGTAGTTTGGTGCCCGAGGCTCGGAATAGAATGGATAATTCATTTTTTGTTTGCTTTCTTCCCTTAGATCTTGATGAGCGGATTCTAAAGCAGCAGCAGGAAGAGGAGGAGCAGAAACGCCAGCGTCGAGAAAGGAAGAAAGAAAAGAAGGTTAGCATTACTGCTTTGGTTAAGAAATGAGCTCATTAAAGACTAGGGTTAAAACACAGAATGTTGAATTGATTCTCGTCACTTTTCCCGTGTTTTTTTTTCTTCCCTCGTTTGTCTTGGTTTCAGAGAGAAAAGGCAGCAGAAGAGGAACCAGAAGTGGATCCTGATATTGCAGCTATGATGGGATTCGGGGGTTTCGGTTCATCGAAGAAGTAATTTCAGGAATAGCTTTCGCCAGTGCAATTTTCAATAGCATTATTTGTATTTTATCCCTTGGTTAACTCAATGTTCTGTAGAGACAAAGCCAAATTCTAGATTGCAATGCAGACTTGTACAATAGTAACTTTCCATTTTTTTTTCTTGCTTGAAAAGAAACTTTTCGTACACTAAATAGAGAATTGTTTTAAATTTATAAGGGGCTTAGTTGATGGTTTCTTTTGATCGTTTCTTACTTCAGTTTAAAGGAGGATGCAATGCTTTCTTTTCATAAAAAACAAAACAAAACAAAAAGGAGAATATTGTAATGGTGAAATGAACTGCCAAATTAAATAATCAATATTAGAAGCAAAGAAGATTAAAAAACAAAAAACAAATAATGGATTTGATGGTTACGTGTAATTGTCGTGAAAATTCTAGCAGCATCACTACTAAAGACCAATGCTGAAACTTTAGACGGGTTCTGCCCGTGAAATTTTTACCCGAGTACCAAACCCGAACTGTCTGAAAATTCGGGCCGCCCGACCCGACCCAAAAATTGTCCATGGACGGGCTTTGGGTAGGAGGTGTCTGCCCGTGCCCGGTCGGGCTGCCTGATGTCCGAATTTTAAAATTTTTTTATATTATATTTTTATGTTATATTCGTTAAAAACCTTACTAAGAAAAATTCAATTGGGATAAAAACTTGGTAAGGAAAAAAGAATAAAATCATTGTGGGACGAATTACAAATTTGACGAACTTACAAAGTCTATACAAGATTACAATAACACTATACAAATTAGAAATTACAAAGTAAATAAATATTTATAAATTAGAATAATAAAATTTAATTTGAAGCAGAAGGATCGTCTTGAAAATTAAAAGTTAATCTATTAAATTTGTCGATCGATTCTTGGTTTGCCAGTGAGACTGTATCGTGTAAACGTTGGTCGGAACGGTCCCAATCCTTGATGAACACCAAAGCTTCAACAATATCCTGCTGCAACGCGTTTCTCCGTTCTTCAAGTATTCAACCGGTTGTACTGAATGCTTGTTCGGCTGCAACAGTGGAGACCGGGATCGAAAAAATATTCATTGCTAGTCGTGTTAGGATCGGCCAAGTTAATGCTCGTGCCCTCCACCACTCAACCAAATCAAACATTTCACTACTGTCTATAACTCAACCCTCACTCAGGTACGCCATTAACTCGTTGAATCCGCCGCCACCTCTTGATGAAGATCCACTCCCAGATTCTTCTTAACCTTGAGTCGTCGTCGTCGTCTTCTTCTTCTTCTTAGACAACCCAAAAACATTCAAGAATGAATGCGAATTGTCGTCTCGTTGTTGCGGTTGTTTAACACAAGGTGTGTTTCTAAACCTACTTTCGTAAGAGATATATAGAGAATATATTTTTTCCTTTATAATAGGAAATTGGTCAGTAGTGTCGATGGCTAAAAGTTCACCTAAGTTATCTAATCTACTTTCTAAACCTTCTAATTTTAATCTAGGGTCAAAAATAACACCGAAA